CTCAGGAACAGGGGATAGGGGGCCCGGGTGCCAAGTGCCAAGAGAAACCCTCAGAGTGACTCCTTAGAGATTTTCAATGTCAGCATCTCACAGAGGATCCCTCCCCCAACCACCAGTCCCCCTTTACTTCTTCTTCTTCTTGCGGCCCCAGCACTGGCGGCCTGCCTTCCGCCCGCCTCCGTCCTCTCTTCTGCTCTGCCAGCTGGGCATGGGGGGCTCCAGCTCATTTGGGCGGCCCCCCCGGTCTGGCACGCTGCCCATAAGCACCTGAGAGTTGATTAGACTTGAATTTCAGAGAAGAAAAATGTCTTGGACAAGGGAGCCAGAGAGCCAAGGGAACAGCATGAGATTGAAAAAGGAAGGGAAGATGTTGACTATATTGGTACAGTGGCAGGGGGCAGGGGGCTGGATTGGTAGGAGATATAGGCCTGGCCCTTTCCAACTGGAGCTCAGAAAGAGGGAAATAAAGGAGAAAGTGATGGTAGAGGTCCAAGTCCCCACCAACATGAAGGAGGACATCTCAACTTCTATTTCGTGTTTTGGCTTTATATGACATTTCCAGCAAACCAGTATTTTTTCTAAATATCTGTCACTTGTGCATCACCTCTAATACTACTTACTGTATTTCCTGAAAGCAAGTAACTTTTTTTCTTAACTTAAATTTTGCTTCACTCTTTGCTGTCCTAGACTTTATGCCCTAAGAGTCATTCAAGTATGTACAAGACTATTTAAAGAGAGAGGTATGAGCCTAAATATGTAATCATTTAAACAGAGGGTAGTTTTGCTTTTAAAATGGTTAAAACCCAGTACCACAGTACCACAGACAGGGTGAGGTGGTGGGGAAGGATTTTAAGCCAAAGCTGGAGAGGTGGGCAGGGGCTCAGTAAATAGGTGGATTTTGTTTTGAAGGCATGGGGGAGCTTCTGAGATAGGGAGGGATACAGTCAGATTTTTGAGTTTAAAAATGTCCTTCTAACTGCCATGTGGAGAGGGCAGATCAGAGGTAGTGAGTCCAGAGGTGAGGAACCCAAGCAGAAGGCTAGAGCAGGAATCCAGGCAGAAGAGGACCAGGCTCAGCCAGGGCAGAGGCTGAAAAGCCAGTATGAAGGCCAAGGCTGTTGAGGCCCTTCCCCAGTCCCAGGTGCTCACCTTGTTGATAGCACAGCAGGTCCCTTGGCGGGCAGTCTTGCTGGTGGCTGGGACAAGGCGAGACAGGTCAGCTCGGGCAGCCAGGACGTGTGAGATGGAGACATCCGATTCTGGGGTCAGAGCCTCTCGAATTGGGAACAGCACTGCTTTCATGGCCTCTCCTTGGGCCTGGGGGGGGGCATAGGGTTGGGCATGGATAAGGTACCCAAGAGCCTCCCCAAGTGAGATCTTTAATCTTGAAACATCTCTTCGCTTCTCAGGGAAGCTCTAAATACACTCCCAGCTCAGACTTGGGAATTCTAGAATATCCTGGGCCTCTAGATTCTAGAATGTCTGGGGGCCCTGAGATTCCAGAACCCCAAACCTCACAAGATTCTCAAATGTCCTGGGTCTCAGAAACTAAGAGGGTCATATTCCTGGCCCTCATCCCTCCTCCCTACAGCTGTAGCCCCCACAGCTGGGTCACCCTGCTTCTGTCAAGGTCTTATGCCCACACCTCTGCCCGATCACTCCAGTGGAAAGCAGATGTTGTGAGGTCCAGGCGTTTAAGGAGGAGGCGGCGGCGGCAGCAGTACTGATCTCGCAAGCTTTGGGACAGAGACTCCAACGCTTCCTGGGGAAAAAGAGCTCAGTCATGCCAAGGTCCCCCTCGCTCCCATCTCTGGATGAGAACATTTTTCCTATACAGCCATACAATCTTACCCATCTGGGTGCGTCCAGCGGGTAGCTTAGGAGGGGCTGCAGGGACCCTGGGGGTAGGGAAGGCAGCAGCTCCGAAATCTGATGGGAGAAGGAGGAGGCTGGGGCTGACTGGGCAGAAATCGGATGGATTTCTCCGTGGACCCCAGTTTCCCACGACCCTGAGGACCCTGGCTATGGAATCAAGAATGGTGGTTGCAGTTCTAGAAAACAACAGTGGCTGGGGCACTCCTCCCCGAGCCATTTTTGGAGAGGGGGCTCTCCCCTTACCCAGGGTGTGCCGGATGTGGAGGGGACTCCAGCTCTCTACCTTAGCATGCAACTCCCGCAGGAGCTGGCTAGCAAGGGTCCCCGGCGTGGGTCTGGACAGCCCCAGGGCTTGGAGAGTAAGGACCAATTCCTGGACCATGCCAGCTCCTTTCTCTGCCCCCTTCTCTCCCCCCTCCCCACCAGATGGCTCTGGGCTGGGATCCAGCCGAGGGTGCAGGCAGAGGAGGCGGGCAGCCTGGAGCTCCGAGCAGAGAAAGCCTAAAAGTAGAGGAAAGGTGCGGTGCAATCAAGGAGGGCTGCCACCCCACCTACCGAGATCAAAAAGTTCAACCGGCTTCAAAACTTTCCGCCCCTTAGCTCTGGCCACCTAGAACCCCGGCTCTGCTTCCAGAAAAAGCTCCCCCCACTTCGAGACCCAGCTTCCTCTTCAGACTTCTAACCCCGCCCACTTCTGAACCACTTGCCGGGTTCCGTATAACCCAACACACTGGAGCTTCAAGACCCTCCAACAAAATTCTAATCCCGCCCATCGCAGAGCCTTTAACCTGCCCCAATATTCTGACCCTACCCACCTCGGGCCCTCTCGCCTGCCTCAAAATTCTGACCGCGCCCCCTCGGGTAACCTGGCTCCACCTCAATCAGCCGAGCCCGCCCCTCTCAAGGGGTTGTAGCCTCGCCCACTTCCGCATCCCGGCCCGCCCCGGGCTCACGCAGCAGGCGTAAGCGTGCGCCGGGTCTCCTCAGCGCTACCGCGCCGTCTCCGCCGCAGAGCTCGCGGTCCGGACAGTACAAGTCCCCCAGCAGGCCGGCCAACTGTCGTAGGAATTCCTCCTCGGCGCCGGGACCTGCTGGAGGCGGGAGACGTCAGGGCGCGGCGACAGCACTCGCGGCTCCAGCCCTCCCGGCCTCCCGCTCCATGCGTACCACCGCCGGCGCTCAGCGCCTCCGCACCCTCCTCTCGCTCCCGCTTCAGGACACCCAGAGTCGCCAGCTCCGCCGCCAGCCGCGCGCACAGCGCCCTGAAGTCGGGGCACGAGGTGCCCGGCGACGCCGTCTCCGGGAAACCTTCATACCTGCAGCAGGGCAGAGGCAGCGGGAGGGAGTGGAGGAGAGCAGTAAGAATTTCTAAGGGCAAACCTGACCCTTCCTGCACCCCTACCCACATCCTGCCCCCCTTACCCCAGGGCCAGCAGGTCCTGGGCTACAGCGGCCCGCTCCCGCTCCTCCACCTCCGCCTCCGCCTCCGCCCCCTCCATGAAAGCGTCTCCTCTTCGCCGGGCATGCGCCCCCTGCCGGCCGGCGGGAGGCTCCGCCCCAGGAACGTCGTGCGCACCCGGCCCCCGTAACTGACCAATCAGCCTTTTCTCGCTAAGGACCTTCGTCGTTCCAATTGGTATAGGAGGAGGCAGAACCCGTCCCCAGGTCCGCCCTTGCGGAGTACTAGAGCACCGCCCTTAGAGTAACCAGTCTGGACCCCACCCCCACCCCTTCCCCCTCCGCCCGGACTCTGTAAACCCAGAGCAGGCGTTCAGGACCCCGGCTGTCCCGACAGACCACCGGGTGCCTCTACTGCTGCGACAAAGACGCAATTACGGTTTCGTCTTCCTCAGCCGCTTTCTGATGCCCTCTGCTCTTAAAGCACCCTCGACCAAATATTGTTCTCCCAGCTCTGCTCCAAGTCTAGAAACTTGTTTCCTCCTTTCCTCCTTAGAGTTAGAATTCTGTCAGGGACACACACACGCACACACAACAAAGTTAGTCCTTATCGATCATAATGCGCCCTTTGGACCTCCCTAAACCTTGGAGAGAGGGAGCAGGTGCAACATCATGATTAAGAGGCAAGGGTTAGGGTTTGTTTTGACTCCACCACTCACCACCACTATATCCCTGCCAGATTGCTTCCCTTCTGTGTTATGAGGATAATAACACCTACCTCAAACAGTTGTTTGTGAGAATTAGAGTCCTATATGTAAGTGCTTAGAGGACAAATGAGGGGTACTCAATTTAAAGTGCCAACATATATTGAGCATTTCATGCGTGCTACTGGGATAAGTATCTTATCTTTAGAGTGAAAGATATTTTATGGAAAACAGATTCAGAGAGGGTGAGTCACAGACTGAATGCATGGTGGTGCCAGGACTCAAAGTCAGATGATTCCAAAGTCCAGGCTTCTAACCACTTAACCTATAGTATTGCTATTGTTTCTGTAGCTGTTGATAAAATTATTGTTTCACATTTAATCTATTCCTGATTTTATTCTGGTCTCCAGTAGTTTCTAGATAATTCTTCTGAGAGTGAAAAAGTGGACTTGGAGTAGAGCCTCAGGGAAGAAAGGCCAGAACTTGCTCCTCAGGGGCAGAGCCTACCCTTAATCTAGTTCCTCCATAGTCCTGCCTACCCCAGGGCTGGGTACTCAGAGGGGCATTTGTTAACCTTAATAAAATATTAAAAATTGCTCAAGCCAAAGCCTTGGAGTCATAACCTTGACTCCTCTCTTTGTAGCAAACATCCATATCTCAGTTGGTAGACTTGACCTTCAAAACAGATCTAGTATCCTGCCCACTTCTTTCCCCATCCCAACTGCTCTCACCCTGGTCCTGTGCACCACTGTCTCCCCTGGACCATCACAACAGCCTCCTCTCTATCTCTATGCCCCCCTACCCCAGTGTCTGTCCCCCACAGGCAGCCAGAGGGAACTTTTGGACACCTGAGTCAAGTCACATCCCCCACCCCCTGCTTGGAGCCTTCCTGTAGCTCCATCTCACTCAGGGTGAACACCAAGTCCATGCAGTGGCTTGCAGGCCCCTACAGATCTTTCCTGTCACCCTTCTGCCTTCATCTCCTCAGTAACGTCCTCCCTGCTTCCTCCCCTCCATCTCCCTTGAAGTCCCTCAGGCTTACCAGGCATACTCCTCCCTGAGGGCTTTGCAAGACCTACCGTCCCCTTTATCAGGAATACTCTTCCCACATACATCCATAGGGCTCCCTCATCTCCTTTGGGGCTTTATTCAAATGCTAGCTCCTCACTGGGGCCTCCCTGACTACCCTGGCTGCAATTGCCTAAATCCCTCATCTCCACTTGATTATTTCTTTATAGTAGATATCATTTCTAACATGTCATTTATTTATTGTCTCCTTCACTCTAAAGTTCATAAGCTCCTCATGGGAAAGGATTTTTTTCTGTTCTGTTCACTACTTTATCCACTGTGCCTAGAACAGGGCTTTGTGTAAAATAGGTGTTTAATAAATGGACCTGTAGAGTGACTAGATGTATAAAACTAGCCAGAGGGTCTGCTTGGGACTAAACGGTGGGGAGGGGAAAGGAGGATACGGGTAGAGGACTGGTCTGGTGGTTCAGGAAGGTGAGTGGATGGGGTGCATCAATGCAAATAAAGAACACAGGCTGAGACTTTGTCACAGACATTTCTTGGAGCCAATATCTCATGCCCCCCTCCCCTGATGACAAGGCTGGGTCTTTGGCCCCCATCCTTCCCCACTACTTCAGCCTGCACTGATGAGAACAATATTGAGGTCACAGACTGGCTTAGAATCAAGATCAGGAAGATTAATGTGGGAGTGCCTCCCCCAAGGCTGGGAGCCAAGCAGCCAATCCGAGGGGCAAGCAGCCGGGAAATTGGGTCTGGGGGCTCCAGGATCTGAGGTCTCCTGGCTCCCAGGGTCAGCCCTCCATGCACCCCTGACTTCAGGGTGATGAAGAGTAATCATGGATCAGAGGTGGGTATTAGCAGGGAGCAGGACCGGGAGACCTGGGAGAGGCGGTGCTGGGAGGTGGGAGCCAGGGAACCATCCCCCAGCCCCCACCACTTCATCCACAGATCCCACAGCACCTTACAGCACTCTGGTCCCCCTGTCCCACCCCTCCCCAAAACGAGGTAGGTTAAGAATGGAGCTTCCCCCCGCCCACCACGGAAGGGAGGAGACCGAGGCACAGAGAGGGGGATGGGGACCCAGGCAGCCCCAGCCCCCAGTCCCTCCGCCCTCAGCTCTGGTGGGTCTGACAGTGATGAGAGCTGGGCAGAGTGGGGATGGGAGGGACACCCCCCCTTTTCTCTCACCCATCCCAGGGTCTGGTTGAGAGAGCTGAATCTCACAGGTTCCGGATGTAATAAATAGTTAATAATTTAAAGGAAGTGACAGAAGGATCCATCCCTCTGGCCCCCTTGACCTATACCTTGAACCCCTACAAGGCCATCCAAGTCTGGGTAATGAAGAAAGGTAAGTGCATATTTCCAGGTGCTTGGGACCAGATACGGGTCCCAAGCCCATACAATACTGAGATTGTCTTGTTCCAAGACCTTGATCCCCCCATGCGAGCCATCAGAACTGAGGTACTCTGGGAGTCCCAATCCACTCGGGTGAAGAGACTGTGGAATCCCCCTTCCCCAAGAAGACCGGTCTCAGAGTGCTGTGAAACAAGGTTTCAAACTTTCTGAAGTGCCCCCCAACTTTGAGATGGAAGAGAAGGGGTTAACAGAGGGGCAGAACATAAAAGGCTTGGAAGAGGGCTAAGACTGCAAAGCCAAGAGAGAGTGTGTGTGTGTGTGTGTGCGCGCGCGCGCGCACGGGCACGAGCACACATTTTGTACCAGCAGAGCCATAGCTAACTGCCTCTGTGCAACTTAGAAAAATGTACACCTTCCTCTGAGGGCACAGCATGGCCAGCCCCACTCACCACCTTGTCCGTGTGCCTTTGTTTAGTGAACAGCCTGCACAATTGTCTATGGTAATGCTGGGTCCTAGAAATGGGAGCAGGGAGCACTTGGATGGTCCTGGAATCCAAGAATATTAGTCAAAATGGTTTTTCCCCTAGGGTAAAGGGGTAGTTCTGCAGGATGCTGCAACCCTGGGACTAGAATTCCAGAGTCTGGAAACTTGGGGTCTCAGGGGCCTATGTACGGCAGGATTCAAGGGGCAGGAGATCTCAGGGGATGCTCAAGCTGGACCTGGAGAATATCAGGCTAGAGAGGTCTGAATCCAAAGAAATCTGGAATCTGAAGATGCTAGGGTCCTGGGGCACCTTGGATCTGACTGTCTCTGGCATGGAGGGACCAAGGTCTTGGGTCAGGGACAATCTCAATATTATGCAGGCTTGAGCCCTGAATGGGGGGGGGGGTCAGTGGCACCTCAGGGCCTTGGATCCAGTGCTCCTAAAGCACCTTGGGCCATTCAGGGGCTGGGGGCATCAAGGAGTCAGAGGTCTGAGTGGCCATGAACATCCCATCTTCTGGGAGCTGAGCTTTCAGCCTTTAGGAGATTGGGGATCTGTGGGTACAAAGAAGTTAAAGATTCCAGGACATTCTGGGGCTTGAAATTGAGTCCAAGGAGAGTTGGAAAAGGGCCATCTGAGGGCTTGGAACCAGTGTCTTGGGACCTGAGGTGTTGGTGACCTTCAGTTCTACATCTGGGGGTACCAGGCACCTCAGAGTCCTATATATGAGATCTAAAGCTCCTTGGAACACTGGCCTAGTATGGGTGTGTCTACAGAGGTCTTTGATCCCTGGCTCCCAAAGCATCTTGATCTGAATTCTGGATCTTGGGTGGTGAGTGTGGGGGAGAAGGACTCTAAGATGGGTCTTCCAAGTCCTTTGGTAAGAGAACATCCATTTGAGCACATCCAAGGACTCAGGATATCTTAAGATTTGGCATCTAAGAAGTCCTGGGGCTACAAGAACATCTCAGACACAGGTGCCCCAGGTTTTAGGTGAGCATTCGGGAACCACTTGGGGGTGATTCTGGGTCCTATAGTCTCAAGATCTGGGTGTAATTGTATACAGGCAGGGTCAGGTACTGGCAACTCCTGACTAATTCTGGGGCTGTAATCTGAGGGTTCATGGTGCCAGGCATGACTGGGTCTAGGTTGGTAATTTAAACAAGGAGTCAGGATTCAGGGTCCTGCACTCTCAGGAATCCGTGTGCTCCCCTGCCTGCCTGAGGTGGAGTCTGGGAATCCCTGGGTCTCCTCAGTCTAGGTCAGAGGGGTTGGGGGTGGAGAACGGGGACTCCAGAACTCAGGATGCCTGGGACCTCTTGGACAGACATCCCAATGAAGCTGGGTTTAGGGTCTCTCAGTCCTAGATTTGGGGTCTAGGTTCCAGGTCTGGGGTTTCTCAATCCAAACTCAAGCTCCAAGATCCAAGTGTGCCTAGGTTTGGGTTTGGGGTCTGAACAGAGTCCGGGGTCCTAGACCCTCAATTTTGGGTCCTCAGTCTGGCTACCGGACCCACCAGGCCATCCTCACCGTGCCGCCTCCTCGTGGCGA